AAGATTGCAACTCCTTAATCGTACATCTCAAAGAATGAAAACAAAAAGGTACTATACAGTAATTTCCTTTGGCTTGGGAAAAGAGCTTTTGGTCTTTCAATTAGTTAAAAGAAATTCTTTAATGGCTTCGGTAGGGATTATGCTGCAGCTACACTGGAGCTCACCGAATCAGAAAATGAAANGGAGCTCACCGAATCAGAAAATGAAGTGGCCAAGGAAAAGGCTTTGATTGCTGCTACCAGTGAGCTGGAGAGACTTTTCAAGAAAGAAGATTTTACTAAAATGAAGGTCCAAAACTCATCCATTAGTATTCAAAAGCAAACCTGTATTATCATTTTAATCTGCCAATAAGTTTGTTTCCTGTTCTGGCTGGAAGGTAAGATTGTTTTAGGATCTCCATGGAGCATTCTTTTCTTTCATCCACACCCCTACCTTATTAGACCCCACCTCTAACAAAAAAATTTGCAGTTTTCTGATTTTTGTTTGCATCTGAATGTTTCAGTTAAATATTCCGTAGTTGGTTTGATTGAGGATATTGTGGCACTGGGGTGTTCTCACGCTGCATTGTTTTTTCCAGTCAATAGCACTTAGAAACGCCCCAATTGACATTCTTAGCATTCCTTGGTCCCAAATTGAATATGTCCACCTCTTTCTTCTGTGTCGTAAATAATATCATCTGCTTCTTTAAAGGTGTCAGTTCAAATCTTTTTCTTTTTTTCTTTGTTCGGATAAGGTACAGTTTAATTGTACCTTATAAACCCACTTCTTCACTCCGTAATGCAACTCTGAAGTGCAGTCTAAACATGTTCCCTGATTTAACGCTAGATAATACTCATTTTCAATTTCAGCTATTCTTTGTAAAATCAATTCAATCCAAGGCATGACAGGAGTCACTATTTGCATTTTGGAATTTGTCTGATCTCTTTTTCCTCTCTTTACACCATGAAACCTTCAGTGTTCTGACTTAAATTATTGTAACAGATTTGCTAGTCCATAATAGGTGATTTTTGTCGTCCTCTCTTGGATATGCTGATATAAACCTGCTCTTTTGAACTTCTTAGTATTTGTGGAGCTGTTTTTGTGCTATATATCTGTAAAATGTGAATTTTATTGCATGCTATTTGGTTATCATGCTTCCAACACTAAATGCGGTCAAGCACTAGTTTATTTACGTGCAATTGGCAATCATTCCATGTCCGTGTTTACTTTTGTCATTAGTAGTTTAAGCAGAAATGCAGAGTTTTAGTATCAGCATTTGAAAATTCTCAACTTCCAAATTTGGTTATGCAGGTGATTGGGCAATTCAATCTTGGATTCATTATAGGCAGGTTGGATGAGGACCTTTTTATTGTTGATCAGGTATTATTCTGTTGCTTTTGTATACTGACCTCTCTGTAGTAAAAGTAAATTAGTCTATCATTTGAGTTTGGTTTTTGAATGTTGCTTATGTGATTTGAATTGGATGATCTCTCTCTCTCTCTCTCTCTCTCTCTCTCTCTTTTTTTCATTTTTCTTTGGTTGGTCAGCATGCTGCAGACGAGAAGTATAATTTTCAGCGTCTGTCACAGTCAACTATCTTGAATCAGCAACCTTTGCTTCGGTGAGGATCTTCATTCTCCTGCTATGTGTTTTGTGTAAGATTGTTTTTAAGTTCATAATGGATCAAGATAGTTGCAATCCCTCCAACACAATAGTAGCTGGAAAATGATGTGTTTTTATTAAGCTAAATCTATACTGATGTTACTTTACTCGACCAAAAGAATAAAGGGATTACCTTCTCCTTTTCCTTCTCAATAAGTGATTTTGCACGATAAAAAGAGCAGCATAAATTTTAAAAGCAGGGACTGAGAGAAGACTTTATTTTTGTCCCTTGTGTTTTGTTTCTTTAATTGCTTCGAATGGGATTTGAGCTACTTTTACTCGAAGCGACTAAACAAGTTTACATGCCAAATCATATCTTGATGCTTCAATCTTAAAGTAGTAACTTGTTATCTGGTTTGAGTTGGTGCAGGATTTGGTGAATGATTTTGTGATTATCTCTGCTTTTATCTTTCACCCGTAATGTGGGAAGTCACTAGATGTTGAAACTCGGAACAACTAGTGGATTAATCAAAATATTCTCTTCTTGGTGTCATGGCTAGATAATCTGAAAAGTAAGATCAGTAGGCCCGTATGGTTGATGTATGTCATAAGTTGGCTCATGCAGATGCTAGGTCAAAGTTATAATCCTCGTAATTCATCTTTTCCATATTTCATGCTAAAGATGCTAAATTAGCATTTATGTTGGCCTCTCAAAATTGAGTTCATATCCCTCAACTACATTTACATTCTCCGGCTTGAAAAGTTTGGACATTTCTCACAAATATGCCCCCCTCCCCAAAGAAGGGAGTCCCAAGACTCTGTCTCTTTTATGAAGATATGGCCCTTGGAACTAACTCAACCCAAAAGCTAACTTATGAGGGGAGGATTGCCGAAGACCACAACCCATTCCCTCAACCATTGTGAGACTTAACACTCCCCCACACGCTCAGAACTCGACTGCAGGGTGAATTGGGGCCCAAGATTGAGAAACACAACAACAGGGACCGATGGGTCTAGCTCTGTTACCTTGTGATAATATGGCCCTTGGACTAACTCACGAGGGAAGGATTTCCCAAGACCATATAAGGAGACCACAACCCATTCCCTCAACCAATGTGGGACGTAACCGCACTGTACTGGTGCAAGTTCTCGAATTGACATGCTACTCCATTTGACATGTTGATCTTTTGAGAGTCATGCAATCTGTTCGGAATATTGCAGGTGAAATTACATGTTTATAAGTTATTTATGCATGATGACTAGTTGCTCTGATTGCTGAACCTTTATCGTTCTCCCATATCATCTGTTTTGTCCTGACAGCAGGGATGGGTTATGGGTTGTAATTAATATCAGTTATCTTTGAAGGTGTGACGCTATATTTTATAGTAGAATTGTTGTGGATTGGAGTTGCTGTAAGTTGTAATATTTCTTTTCTGCATTCCTCGAGAACTTTTTATTCCTGGCTCCAAATGTAATTCTTTCTTTCTTGAATCTAGGCCCTTG